AGAGAAATAAATTCCAGAGTGTTGGAGAAGCTGGATCGCCCATTAGGACGCCGCATAGGGCGTGAAAGCACTCGGAAAGTTCGCCATTCTGGAGAATCGTATATGACATATGGTCATACAAAGTTCTGAGCCAATCAAAGTAGCGGCCAGTCAGTCCATAGTCATATAGTTTATTCCAGAGGCGATGTTGATTTGTCGATGGAAACGCGTTTGAAATGTCGACGAAGGCAACATATAGAGTCTCACCTCTCGACCTTGTATCATCTATTAGTGTCCGTATGATGAACATGTTATTGTTTGTTCTGTGGTGTTCCCGGAAACCGTTCTGGGAGGGAGGAATGATGCCAGCCTGTTCGGCTGCATCGGAGAGCTTCATATGAATAATGAGTGTCAAGAGCTTCAAGATGCAGCTCTCAAGTCCTACAGTACGGTATTCACTTGGATTAGTGAAGTCGCATCTACCTCGCTTGCGGATGGCTTCAATAAGTGTGGTCAGCCAAGCAGAAGGGACTTCACCGGCGTCAACACAGGCGTTAAAGAAGATCGCATAGGATTTGGTTATCAAGGTCGAGTATCCAAGAATAAGAGGACCCATCAACCCCCGTGGCGCGCAAGGGCTTTGACCGCATGAGGTGAGCTTTGGCCCGCTCAATATCATGTAAAGTGAGCCGTTCGTTGAGTGTTGGGAAGATGGAGGGCTTTGACACTTTAACACGCTCGCACAAGTTGCACTCATGAGTCAGCGATCTTGTAACGGCTGAGGGACATTCTCGGGCGGGTTCATTCGTGGAATGAAGCACTCAGTGAGGCTCGACAAAGACAGTAGAGTAGGAGCATTGCCTGGGTAGCGAAGGCGCTTGTAAAGTCTCCCAGAATGCACCCGAATCGGAAGAGCATTCGATGAGGCGGTGCAGGATCCCATCCTGAAGTTGTCGCTTGAATGACCTGTGTCGGTGGTTGCGGTGGAAGGAACGTTGGCGAGATGGGTGTGGTTTGCAGGAAGCTGGGTCTTCAGGGAGATCTGTATAGACCTTTGGATATCCTAGCGGGACCGTAAAAGGGATAGGAGCGGGCACATGGTAGTAGTCTGTAGGAGAAAAGGGGATGGGTAGGGGCAGTCCTGCGCCGTGTTTTGCCAAGGCATCTGCGGCATCGTTGTGTTTATTACCAGAGTGACCGTTAACATGATGGAAGCGGATAGGAGCTGAGCGTGCCGCGATCCAGCTTGCGATCAGTCTGAGAAGGTCACCGTTGGACGCAAACCCATCCGCATTTAGCATTGCGGATAGACCAATGTACAAGGGAGTGTATCACATACGTGGAGTCGGTGAAGATGTCCAGTACGCGATGTAGCGGGGTCTTTTGTATGGTCAGTAATATTGAGTAAAGTTCTGCCGGTTGTTGGAAGGTGTTCCCGTCACCCGTGCAGTGGTATTGAAGGGGTGAGCGGGGCGTAAATCCTGCGCCCGCAGTAGCACCTAGTTGTCCATTATTGGTAGCCGACCATCAGCGTAAACCTTCAGACCATGTGTTCCAGCATGAGGGGGTCGAGGTTACTGAAACCATATAGTTTCCCTAGTTCGTCACTGGCCTCGGGAGGGGAGGTATGTAGAGCCTCGTCGAGAAGGTGGTCAAGGTGCGTTACCAATGGTAAAGTGAATTCAGGACGCTTCTGTTTCATAGATGGAGGAGGAGGGAGAGTGGAGCATGGTGAAAGGATCTGCAAAGATAGGAACGCGTGGTCAGACCACCTTGTTCTATCTGAGATATCAAAGGAGGCGATGTTAGAGGAGCTATAGGCTGAGCAGATGCCATAGTCAATGACTGAGGTGTTGTATATCCCATCCCGTTTTTGAAACGAGGTCCAGCGAGAGTGGGTGCCCGGGATGTGCTCTGAACCATTCAGAATGGTTAAGTTGAGGTCGTCGCATAGAGTCAGAAGGTGTGATCCTTGGGAAGAGCAGTGAGTATCGGGTGAAGTCCGAGATGGGTGTGCGGCGTTTGGCCGAAGGGAGCCGGTGCGGGCGTTAAGGTCTCCTAGAATGAAAAAAAGGTTTGTCAAGGTTAGCGGCGAGTGTGCAGATCTCTCTGAAGGCGTCCCATGGGGATGTATCAGTCCACCGGGACCAGTCAAAACTTGGAGATTGAAGGAAGAAGGTACGCGTTAATGAAGAGAATACCTTCCACTTCGACTGTCACAATGTCGGGCCCACAGAGGTCCTCGTGTAACGTTGCATGTAGGTCCGAGCGGACAAAGGTAGCGACCCCACCAGAGGGATCGTCGAAGTATTCCGTCGTCGAGCTTGAGAAAAAACAGAAAAATTATCTGGGGCGTGCCATACCTCATCAGGATATAAGTCAGTTTCCTGGATACATGCAATGTGAACGTTGTCCAGTAACTCGCAGAACTCAGAGTGGAGAAGGTTAGATTGAAGACGGCCCCCAAATTGAAGCTAAGAATGTTCAAATTACCCGTAGTACTAATACAATTAGGAGAAATACTATGGTGCGGCGAGGGAGCGCAATCAATCAAAGACTTCCCCACTGCTAACCGTCATTCGGAGGGTGACTGGTAGGAGACGTTGAATGCAGCTTGTTGACAATCCGGGACCGGTGGCTATCCCAAGCGTTAACGAATGCTAACGCCTGAGAGGCTTAGTAAAGAACAGACGCACCTGGCGTCTGGCGGGCCCAGTGTGTCGAATACGGTAGGGGAATGTCAATGGCGTGGCTGCGTTATCCAACAGGTCAAACCAGGTGTGGAAGAAGGCACGGAGAGCTCTACCTTTCCCGCGGAATTTCCAAGTTTCGGTGGAGATACGAACTGTCGATCCCGGGAATGTGTTGTGATTGGTAGAGGGCTGGAAGAAGGTGTGCCAGTTCTTCGACGTTTTGGTGTTGGTTCCATAAATGACGGGGATGCGGGTCGCGAGATATACGGTTTCGGAGAGGCACGGGATTTTGAGGCGCGACGGAAGGTGGGGTGTCCGAGGCCATGTGCGGCGACGGCGAGGGAGAACGATCCTGGGTGAGGCCGAAGGTTGCCTCTGGGACCCTGACAGGGAGAGTCGAAGTCGGAGTCGGGGTTTCGTGGATTGCTGAAGATGTCTGAAGTACCCCACAGTGGGCGGTCAGGTGTGTTTTGTGTGGTAGGGGGAGATGACGAGCCAGGGGAGCTGGCGCGTGTATACGAGAGTAGTTGTCCACTAGGACCGGGAGGCTGTTGTTCCAGTTGATCCAGTCGCTGAAGGATGGCGTCGTAGGGAGGTTGTGAGCTCTCAATGTCGTGGACCCGTGTCTGTAGGTCGTTGACGTCAGTGCGGAGAGCGGTCACGTCCTGTCCCAGAGATTGCTGTGCTGGTCGTAGGTTCGTCATGTTGGTGAAGACTGTCGTTGAGGTTTCGAATGAGATTGTCGCCGTGGATGACTCTGTACGAATCATCCCTTCGAGGCTAAGTCATTGCTGTCCGAGCGATATCTGGTGGTTGCAGCAGATTCCTTCGTTCCCGAGGTGTTCGGGATGAGCCTGGATTCTGCAGGGTAGTGCAACGTAGGCAGATTTAATGAGGACTGGGGAGAGACGTCTTCGACGGCGTGACCTTCGAGGCTTTTCCCTTAGCGGAGATAGCCTTTTTCGAGGCTTTCCCGGAAGGGGTCAACGTAGTAATGCTGCCAGCTTACTCGGGGAAGGGCTGGGCGCGGTTCCGAGGGATTGTCGTCGTCGAGAAGATGTGTAAAGGATGTGGCAGATTTCTAGCGAGGGATCGGTTTGCTGAGGAAGTAGGAGCGGGAAGAGGAGTAGGTGAAGGACGGCTTTCCAGTGTTACGCTGAGGTGCTGGCCTGGGGTTGTTGTGCATATGGCACATATTGGTCCTGGATCCTACTCAGTCTGACCGTGTCCTCGATGAGTTCTTCAATGGATTTTGCCATTCTGTGGTTAGAGAGGTTGTCTCAGAATGTCTCAGGTAGCGATTGGTGGTGGAAGTCGGCAGCGGCTGAGACTTTTGTAGAGCGTGCGCGTGAAGAGTGAGAATGAAGAAAGAAAGCGTTAACATTGTCGAAGTATGAAGTTGCGGCGATGAGCTCGATAGAAATTTCGGGCGCCTAATCGGTGATGGTGGTCGGATCGTAGAGCGTGTCACTAGTATGATCAAGTTTGGTTCGCATGTAATGACGAGGTCAGTCATTCAAGTCGGCTAGAAGGAAATAAGCGAGGTGGCTATGTATGTCTTTTTGCAAGTTTGAAAAAATCGGAATTTTAGCTCGCTTGACAATCCATGTTATAATCCACTATAATCCTTCTTAGCTCAGTTGGTAGAGCGCGTCACTAGTAAATAAGGGCTGATGATTGTCACCTAGGTTTATTGACGAGGTTAGTCGTTCAAGTCGGCTAGAAAGAATGGGTTGACTTGAGGTAGATCATTAATTATCTTATCTTTTTGCCCAGTTGCTCAGCCGATAACGCGAAACGCGATAAAACAAGTTTCAACTTTGAACCTATACTATATTACTAACCTTTTGTCCCTCCAGACGCGTCTTGAGTCTTGACCTCGACGACAAACAGGACAAGTGCCGCGGCGCTGCTGCTACTGTTACTTCTCCCCGACTTTTTCAACTTTCAGTAACTTACCAGTGTCAAGTTCATTTAGATATTCAATACAAAGGGCCTAGTTTCAACCTAGTTTCCTACCGCTTCTCAATGTCGATCAAGCAGAAAGCAGCAAGCGCTAGTTTCCCTGCTCCCGAAGGAAAGTTAGGAAAGTTGGGGAATCAAAATCCAAGGGCCCGGCTCAGCGCTCAGCCTTTGTTTCCAAGCCGTTGATCAATTCCTTCTGGCAAGAACACTTATTTATTCAACAGTACCTCAGGCTAAACACGTATGCCTCTTCCTCCTGCAACACCTCTTTGAGTTCCTCATCCAAAAATGATATTCTATTCTCTTGCTGATTCGGGATTTGCTTATTCAACAAGGACCACCGACTTTACACAAATGTTATACTCCTTCTTAGCTCAATTGGTAGAGCATGTCAGGGATTTCGATGAATTCGATCAGTTCTATTAATGACGAGGTTGGTCGTTCAAATCGGCCAGAAGGGAATGGTTTGCGAGGGATTTTTTTTTTCTTCTCCGGAGTTTACAGATTCAATTATGAGTAGCGGTGCTTGCTCTGTCTAGCATACTCCTTCTTAGCTCAGTTGGTAGAGCGCGTCACTAGTATATATATCATATGATATGGAGTACTCTGATGACGAGGTCAGTCGTTCAAGTCGGCTAGAAGGAAATTCACTGTGTAGATGTTTTCAATGGTTTTGCTCTCCGAACCTCGCTCAACCTTTGGGGTGTGCAGTTTTACAGACCCAACAACAGCACTTGAGGCATTCATGTGTACTCCTTCTTAGCTCAGTTGGTAGAGCGCGTCACTAGTATCTGTATTCAAGTGACTTATCTAATGACGAGGTCAGTCGTTCAAGTCGGCTAGAAGGAATAGTTATGTGAAAGGTAACAGTTGTTTTTATTTTTTTTTTAAGTGCCGCCGGACGGGTTGACATTCAGCATATGTACACTCGTCGTTCTATGCATGATGGAATATCTGGCAATGGATTCTTAAAAATTCTGTGCCCATGTTGCAGACTTGCAGTACTTACTGGCAGTGCTAACTTACTGCCAAGTTTGATGATCTGATATTATGTATGGAGGGTGTTGGTATGCCAGCAGGTGAGGATTGGGGATTTGTGGTTTGGGAGAAAGAGGGGTTGTGAACTCCACAAGGAGGGGATGGGGACTGGGGCTGGGCTCAAACACCTGACTGTGGGCTGAATGGCTCTGAACCGTAGCTGGCACATCGCTGACAGCTGTGTACTATCTGAGGGGCCAATAATTATTCCAACAGTTGTTCAGTAGAACTAGAACTATCCTGTACTACCAATAGTTACAACAAGAGAACTCAGAAAACAATAAATAAAGTAGCTAAACTTGAAAGAGAAATGGAAAATAGATATATTCCACCACAAGACAAGAAGTTCTGGTTAGGGGCGGGGCAGCACCCCTTGCCATCGAAGTCTCCACTACTCTCTAGGTCCGACAGTCTGACATGTCATTGTCATATGTACTGTTGCGACCAGCCGAGTCTTCGTTTTTGTGCTCAGTGCCTGTCACGGTAATATTCTGCAGGGGAAGGGCTACCGGGTGACTGTGGACATGGAGGTTTTGCAGGGGAAGTATGTTCAAATCAGCAGACCAAGATGTTCCACCGTCCGAGATGGAGTCTTGGCTATTCAGCATAGCTAGAAGGGAATTTGTATATACTGTGAACCAGATCATCAGTTAGATTTATTTTCGCATGGGAAGCCACACAAATGGAAATTCACACTGTCCAATAACATATTCTGCAGCACTGTACCAATACGAGTCTGGTGCAATGCCAACCTGCAGGTACGAGTCAGGCAAAAGCAGGAACATTAAGAGACTAATTACGTACCGCCAATGCTTCCACTAGTGCAACCACTCTGTTATTGCATGATCATGTCAGGTCCCAGACAGTACTTTCTACTGCACGGGTGCTGCACTTACGATGTAAATATACAACGGTTCACGGCATACAAGATCAGCGTATTGATGAGTGTTTTCGTCCTGTGAATAGTATTATATTATGCCCGGCGGCAACGGCGGCAAGAATAGGCGAATGAACTGACCTTCGAAAGCCGGTGCGCCTTTTGTACAAAAGAATACACAATGATCCAGCAATTGCAAAGTCTACTGGTAGCTGGGTGATGGCATAGGGCAGATATCCAACGGATTGCTTAGTAGCATCCTCCAGAAATGTTCTTCTTGGTGCCCTGTTAGTTGTTATTTGAGTGAGCAACAGCATAATAAGATGTGATTTAAAAATGCCCATACACAAGGATCACGACAGCTGCATTAGTATTGCAATCTCAGACTTGTGTAAGAGTATAAAAGTCTGAACATACCAAGTCCCCATCCTATCTTGGGTAGTCAATATATACTAATGGCCTGTTAGTACAGGTAGCACTAACCAAAATGTAGAATGATGAACACCATCTTTTGAAATAAAAAACGTCAAGACTTCACCGAATGTGTGCGAAGTGATAAATTACGCACAATTGATGCAGTTAATGATACGCGCAACCAGGTTTTCTTGCACACTGCGCATAGTTGGAAGGACTCTGATCAGGCCAGTGACACATTGCAACTACTTATGCAAGACCTACACCTATATACAACCGACAGAAAGTATCTTGGCGTGACTGGTCAGCCACAGAGCCGGAAGTTGTACTAGGATATCAGGGACTCACGTCTGACAGATGGCAACCACAGTTACCTGTAACCCTTTAAGCAACAAGAACCCAATCACGGAGACAACTCACATTGATAGCGACTGATGCCTGTAGTTTTGCAGATGGGCTTAATCAATTACCATATGGCATAAATGGCTCAGAACTTACTGCTATAGGCCTGTAATGCCAACAGCCAATTGATCAGCACATCTTGATTTTTGACAATGATGGAAATTTTTTCAGATGTACCATGTGGTAAACAGGATGGCGGTCTCATTGAATGCATCCACTATCTAGGTATGTGTCGTGGTAATGAGCTCATGGCTGCACCAAAGAACATTGATATATTCACCAAATAATGATAGACTATGGTGCACACTGGTTTGAAGCAAGTTTGGGGCCGACATTAAGTAAACCCAATCGCCGGTCCTCAAGAATACACACCAATTGCAGTGTGAATTGTGTCAAGAAACCTAAGTACTTTTAATCAGACAACTTATTGCATGAAGCTGTAGACTTGTAGTACATACCAAAGGCACAATACCTTGAAAAGAACATCTAAGCACTGCAGAGAAAATAAGAGCTGGAATGCCATACCAGCACTTTGAGCGGAGCTGAACTCCTTAGGGGACGGTTGAAGAATATGTAGGTCTTCAAAATGAGAGGTCAATCAGTCAACAATCTTAACAGTAAAGAGAATACAAAAAAAAATCACCTGCGCTAATGTTACACCATACATGGAAGCAGAAAGCCATGAACCAATCAAACCAGAGCCTAGAAGCAAGGGTATATCAGCCAATGCTCATAACTGCTGAAGTGCTTGAGAAATCAACATCACCATTGGTAGCATCGAAGAACTTCGACATGCTTGATACTTCCAGTCTCAAAGGCACAAGGACAAGGGGAGGTCACAATGTTACATGCTGGGAATGGCCTGTATAAGTATCAACAATGAACTAAATCTCAGATTATATTAATTGACCATCATGCATGAACACCAAGGGAACTAGGGTTCAAATACATGGTGTCGTTGTATACATCATCAACTCTTTGAAATTAGATATCAGATCGGAGTTAATTTATGTCGGAGTGAATCAAGGAAGTCGTCGAATAGAGCTAGAGTTCACTCCGGTTTAATAGCAAGCTATGTAAAATGTAGGGAAAAATAGATAAGTCCCAGCGTGCACTCCGGGGAGAATAACACCTGAAACTAAAGGAGAAGCTTTGGCGAGCAAATCGATTGCTCAGCTGATCTCAACATCTCCAACAAATTATTCCATTGATCCGTACTGATATCGGATTGGAGTTAATTATGACATTGATCCTTAGTGATAAGCCCAATATTTAATCGGCACCTTGTATGTACTAGAGTATTCTTATGTGCATTAATGTAGTCATATAAGGTTGCATGCAGCAGCATATCAGTGTGACATAATACTATTGTGACCAGTTTGTAGGTCATGGGTCACAGAAGACCCAAATATACCCAGTTACAGGCAACTGAAGGATCTTACAAAATAAATTTGAGTCACTGACATTGTCAAGGAGATGATGTACTAAATTTTGTCGCAATCACATATTGAATGAGGATCAAATGAGAATTGTATGAAAATAAGATTTGGAAGAAAGGTCAAGTTGAAGGCCTTACCAACTGCTCAAAAGTCAAAATGGTACAGTACTTAGTAAGTATGCATGTCACTGAGGTAGCTGGATAATTCTTTTTAGCAACCCAGTTGATAAGCCGAAACCCCCTTGAAGTTGACAACCCCGACTTTGAAGTAGTTTCAGTGAGGTTGCGGATCAGTCCAGCCTTGCCGTTTTCCGGGTTGATGTGACCAAATGACTGGAACATAGTAAATAAAGTCACCAGTTTGGGATTTATACGGCGCTTACTTGAACGTGGAGCGCCCAACTGATGAGATCTCTACTTACGGCGCATCAACAAAAGCGACGAGAAATCTAGCGATATTTTTGTGTCAGAACAAGCGCAAAAACAAAAGGAATGCAATGCACGGTGTAGCACGATTAGAGACTTCATTAGTGATGATGTCAACACCTCTGTGTCTAGCTACACCAATCTACAGAATTGCTACAGAAGAAAAGAAGAAGATCAATCAGGAGAATCCAGCGATCTATAAGCTTTGAAAACTTACTTTACTCGCTAGTGTACCAAAGTTTGACCAAAGTCAATGCCGACAACAGTTTGAAAAGTCGTGAAAAAAAGAAAAAGATAGGGACAAGTGGAAAAACGAAAAGTATGAGCGGAATGAAAACTTTTAGCAGAGCCACATTCCCGATTTGGAAGTTTCCTCATCATTCTCTCGCATTCTTCCAAATTCTACAACTCATTCGGCCCACGCTCCCTGCTCTATTTAGTCTTCCGCGCTGACTAACTCTCGCTCTGAACTCAGCTGCTGCTGCAGTGTTCCTTGTACTAGTAGTTCTTAAGCCCCGGAATTTACAGATTCAAGTATAGTGCTCAAAGAACTCTACTATTCCTTCTTAGCTCAGTTGGTAGAGCGCGTCACTAGTATGGGAGCTAAAGAAAATGGCTGATGACGAGGTCAGTCGTTCAAGTCGGCTAGAAGGAAATAACGTTATCATAGGAAGTGTCTTTTGCAAGACCGAAAAAAATCGGAATTCTAGCTCACTTGTCAATCTATGTTATATAATCCTCCTTAGCCTAGGTTTATTGACGAGGTTAGTCGTTCGAGTCGGCTAGGAGGAATGTGAGTTGACTTGAGGTAGTTCATTAATTCTCTTATCTTTTTGCCCAGTTGCTCAGCCGATAACATCATAAATACAGTTTCAATTTTGCCCAATTCAATCTTCCGTACTGACTGACTCCTCCTCTGAATTCACTTGCAGCTCAGGTTTTAAAGCCAGGAAATTACCGATTCAACAGCAGTAACTAAATCCTTGTGTAATCCTTCTTAGCTCAGTTGATAGAGCGCGTCACTAGTATTTGTAAGTGCCGTATGAGTATCAATGACGAGGTCAGTTGTTCAAGTCGGCTAGAAGGAAATGGCCATACATGGATTCTGCCTTGGTCTTTTTTGCAAGTTTGAAGCAAGTTTGAAAAATCGCAATTTTAAATAAGCTCAAAGTAAGTACTTGACAATCCATGTTATAATCCTTCTTAGCCCAGTCGGTAGAGCACGTCACTAGTATAATACGGGTCTGTTTGTAACCTAGGTTTATTGACGAGGTTAGTTGTTCGAGTCGACTAGAAGGAAATTTCAGTGTTGCCGCGGTTCGGTTCGGTGCGCGAACCTCTATTTTTGCCCGAACCTCGAACCTGAACCCCCAGGTTCGGGTTCGGAAGTTCGGGTTCGGAGGTTCGGGTTCGGGGGTGCACCGGGTTCAGTTTATAAAACAAGGAATTACAGAGTATGATGTATATATTTAGTCAAAACTGGGATCTACATGCATCCAGGCTTCATTTTTAGCCTTCAAACGGCCGTCACAGTAACCCCCTTGAGTTCCTGCATTTCACCAAAAAGTTCATCACCTAAACGGGCTCGTCTTGGTACATCAGTGATTCCTGAACTCGAAAATGACCTCTCTGCAATTGCAGCTGAACCCTGTATAGCAAGGTAGTCACGGGCCATACGAGCAAGAACTGGATACTTGTATTGATTGAGCTGTATAATAAATCAGTCAATGCAGCTAGAACACAATAAAAATCACCTACCCCCCACCAGGCAATTATATAAATGCACTGTGAGCGTGGAACCAGCATTTACAACTCACCCATTCACACCAGCTTGAACAACACCGCTGATTGCATTTTTGGGGGCACTGCCTTGGGAGTAATGTTTGCAGCCTGGCACCTAGTCACGTACTCTGCATAATGATGTCTACAAGAGGTCAGATTGTAACAACCTGTCAACAGCTAAGAACCAACCTTGAGATGTGAAGACAACGAGCAGTGACATTTCCGGTAAAGAATGAGTCACGCTTGCTTTTCTTAAGGTCACTGAGATATTTGGTTTGTAAATTAGTTCATGTCTTGCGGAGTAAGTGATTAAACATGCACAGACAAAATACACAATAGTGACCAGCCATATCCTTCCCATCTATGGTACAAACACCGCAACTTCTAGTATGATGGCTAGAGATGTCCACGAGTCCAGATCCAAGTATACTTGGATCCGGCGCGCAAGTACCTGTGGCCCAAAAGCCTTGACTTGTGACCTGCGGAAGATCCGTGGGAAATGGATCTTTGACTCGCAGGTAAATTACCTGCGAGTTCGCAAGTACCTGCAGGTATTTGTGTATTTATGCCAAAGAGTGTACTAATAATAATCATTAATAAAGTACTTACCTGTTCTATGATACATACCATTTATAAAACATTGTACTGTAACTGTCTACTATTATTTCATACTTAGTTATGAAGTAAATATGTACTGACACAAAGGTTTTACATTGTAGACAGCTCACGGCAATGGGGCGCTTAAATTAGCGCCAAACGTCGTGAGCTGTCTACAACCTCAAACATATGTGCCAGTACTTGATAAGTACTATAATAAACATGATACTATGAATTACTGTAAGTTTTGAGTGTTAACTGACAAATATTGTTGCTTGTACTATAAATTTTGAGCACTAATTAACAAATGTATGAGTTTACATTGCTTGTACAAGTCATAAAAATACCCGCAAGTCAGCTGAAATTCTCCAAAGTCTGACCTGTGACCTGCGCCGGACCCGTGGGAAATGGATCCTGGGATCCGCGGGTCACATACTCGCAGGTTTTCCCACGGATCTTACCTGCGAGTACCTGTAGAGACCTGGACTCATGGACATCTCTAATGATGGCATGTGATTTTAGTGCATCATAGACAAGCGCTCTGAGGCGCTTAATTTTGTAAAGTACCGATCAGTCGTACAACAAATTCGGCCGTGTAATCAATTCCAATTTCCAATTCCACCTGCCTCACTTGAACTTGGGGTTCGGAGGTTCGAACCCCGGTGCACCGCGAACCTAGGTTCAGACCTCTGCCGAAGCTGAACCCGAACCTCAAGGTTCGGTGCGAGGAAATGGCCGAACCGCACCTGAACCTTAGGTTCGGTTCGGGTTCAAACCCGGTGCAGGAGGTTCGCGAACCGACCCGCGGCAACACTGGAAGGAATGCGGCTTGAGCGGCCTGTTGAGCGGTTCATTAATTATTTTTTTGCCCCATTTCGCGGCCGATTATAACGCGATTATAACGCGATAAATATGGATGCTGTTCGGATCTCGACGCGTCTTGACCTTGACGGCAAACAGAATAAGCACCGCAGCGCTACTGCTACTACTCTTCTCTCGACTTTCAGTCATGCTTTCAGTACCAATTAATGTCAACTTCATTCGAATATTCAATACAAAGGGCCTAGTTTCCTACCGATTTTCAATGTCTATCAAGCAGAATTTGAAAGCAGCAAGCTCCAGTATCTCTACCCCTGGAGGAAAGTTATAAAAAATCAAAATCCAAGGGGCGGCTCAGCGCTCAGTCTTTGTCTCCGAGCTGTTGATTGATTCCTTCCGGCAAGGACACTTAAAGTTTATTCAACAGTACCTGCTAGCGCTAAACACGTATTCCTCTTTCTCCTGCAATGCCTCTTCGAGTTCCTGATTCAAGATGATATTCTAGTATTCTCGCCCAGAAATTTGCTTATTCAAGAACCACTGACTTTCCAAAAGCCTCATACTCCCACTTACTCAGAGCTCGTCAAGTATTTCAATGAATTCAATGAGTCCTATTAATGACGAGGTTGGTCGTTCAAGTCGGCTAGCCTGAAGGAAATGGTTCAGCAGACTCCGGAGCAAGGATGTTTTTTTTATAAGTTCTCTGAACTTCAAGGGCAACTAAACCACCGGCGAAGTCCACAGATTTACTTACGATCCTTGGTCTCTGCTTGTGTACTCCTTCTTAGCTCAATTGGTAGTTCGGACAACTCAATTGCCAATGACGAGGTCAGTCATTCAAATCGGCTAGAAGGAATTTCGCTGTGTTGAAGTTTTCAATGGTTTTACTCTCTGAACCGCGCTCAACCTGTAGGGTGCACTTTTACAGGTTCCACTATGCTGCTAGGTCTGATACAGTACAACGTTGAAAACTTGGAATTAAAGGGCTGTATAATGCTGGAAAGCACTAGAAACTATTCCAGCTATCTTTGGAGATCTCATAGGGAAGTCTACGGCCAAAAACTGAGGGCCACTTGACTTTTGGACATGTTGGGGCCTACCGGAGCGAGCAGTTTCGCCCAACACGTGTGATAGATCCTGTACTTACTACCGCGTGCTGCGAATGTTTGAAGCCTCTCCGTCTTATTCCGAATCTCTTCGAGTAGTACTCACTGGGAGGAACATTCATAAACACCCCCAAAACACCCCCTTCCCTGAGCCTCTTCCACCTTTGGTGCTTCTACATTGGTCTCTGCCGAGTCCGAAGACTACTGATCTTAACGACTCTGAGGCGACTATCCTCATAGAGTCTAAGTATACCTTCCAGTATGGCAGTTCCCCAGGCTGTCATTTCAGCATCATTTGAAACTACCCTCGTCGAATCTGACCTGTTCTTCCAGCCCACCTATAGTGTCGGTGCATTCTCCGACAGCAAGTCAATGTTATCGGAATTTACTGCCTCGAGATGACATGATTGCTATTTAAGTACTTATAGGTAGGTCATGGACAAACAAGGGCCCCCAATCCCGACTACCCGGTTTGGTTCCATAAATTTAAACCGTGACCCAATCCATTTCAGCCGCCGCTTGGGCACCTCTTTAAACTTTAGAAAATTGTCACTAGCCTGACGACAAGCTCAACCTGCCGACAAGACCTATACCTTGTCAGCACTGGCTTCCAAATTCTTCAAACCTCTGGATCTCTAATGGTTTTACCTCCAGTTGCGGATTCCAATAGTTTACCTCAGTAGTATCATCAGCAATATCATCAGGGAAAGTTCCTGCCTTGACGATGATCCGTGCATTGAGGGTAGCCATAAGGCTATTAGAATATCTTTTTTGTTGTGAAAACGAGGCCGTTAGTATGTTGTATAAAAAGAAAATTGAACGACTAACAGCTTTGGAAGAGCGTAAAATCTGAAAAATTGAATCATCAGTTCAATCTGAACGCAACGAAGATTAATCCTTACACTGTAAAGTCCACAAGGCTGTCTTCAAGACTCAGAAAAAGCAGTAATTGAACTAATGCACTGAGTGCGGTTAGGACTCCAGTGTCAATAGCAATGGTCATGGCCCTCTTTACTCTTGCTATTAAGGGTTCGTTTTGAGTACTCCGTATCTGCTTGCGCTAGGATAAGATAAGATTTTTGCTTTGATAGTAATATAGAAAGTCATCGAATTTTACCAGGTAAAATAGAGTTGCAGATATGATTATGTCGCAGATTGTGCTGCTCACCAACCACCCCTATTCAGAATTAGGAAGGACTGAATTATTCTAATGAAACAAAGCAGATCAACACTCACTGTAAAAATTGCTGAGTTTGTTGAGCCGGACGTCGATGATTCAGATATCCTAAATTCAAGCACACTCTTTGCTGTGGCATCCTGGCATGAAATATAAATTGTGGACACAAAGAAAGCCCAAGCAAAGCACATACCAATGAGCCCCAATATGACACCATTACACACTGAGTGACAGACAGTATCATAATAGGCACGGTTATTTTCCAACCCCCGCCCAGGAGGTGGATGCGCCAGGCACAGGAGCCTTGGACTATAGCAGCAGCTGGGTAAATTTGATTAGATATCGAGTCCTTATGCTGCTTAGTAACTCGGACATACCCAACCCACAAAAGATACAAATGCACATAAAAGCAGGTTCATATAAAAGTGACAAGACGAAGTGTCTCTCAAAAATGATGCTTTTAATCATCATCACAGTTGCAAGCAGAGTTGACGCAAGTTCCACGGTGAAGATCGACAGTACTGTAAAATACTTGGTCAACGACTTTGAGTTACAGATCGAAGCAATAACCTGTGATTCGCAAATAGATAGGATCTGTTCGGCGGAATACAAGCCAATAGAGAACTGAAGCCGAAAATAGGTGAAGAGTACAACGTTCAAGTTAGGCTGAATGCACGTACACATTTGGGCAAACAAAATGCCTTGCAGAAGGTAGCTGAGCATGTGTCCAAGAAACTGAAATAATTCCCAATTCAAAGTCAATTTTCCGCATCCCTCAACTACCTTTAAAGCGTACCAATGGAACATCCCTGGGAGAAG